GAAGGGGGTCCTGCCTCTCCCACAGCCGCCCCCCACCCCGCGCCACGCGTGTCCTCCCCGGTCCCTGCCGGGGCCGCGGGACCCCCCCGGTGCCGCCGTGCGCAGCTCCCGGTGCCGGAGGGGATGGAAGGGGGGGGGAGCCCGGTGCCGCCGCCCCCGCCGGTGCCCCCCCCGCGCTCGGCGGGGGCGGCAGCCGCGGGATCCGCCCCCGGGGCCTCCCACGCGCGGCGCAGCCGGGGCCGCTGCTATTTCACGGTCCCGCCCGTGTGGGCGGCGCGCAGAGCGGCGCGGCGCGGCGGAGGGAGCGCGCCCGGCCCGGCCGCGGGACCCCCCGAGCCCCGGCACCCCCCGGAACCCCCGCGCGAACCGGCCCCGGACCCCCCCCGCCCCTCCCCGGGCGCCCGGCGGGGCGGGCGGAGCGGCCGGAGGGCGGTTCCAGGCGGCGGTGAGCGAACGGGGGGCGGCGGGAGGGGTCGGGAGGGTCCCGGGGGTCACCAGGGGGAGGGTGGCCCCGAGGGGACCGGGGGGGGGCATCGGGCAGGGTGAGGAGCCTGGGAAGAGGATGGCCCCGGTGGGACTGGGAGGGGAGGGGAGAACCGCGGGGGGCCGGGGCATCAGGGGGCACCGAGCAGGGCGGGGGGCACTGGGGGAGGGTGGCCCCGGTGGGACCTGGGGGGGACGGGCGGGCCGCGGGGGGACGGGGCACTGGGCAGGGTAGGGGGTCCCGGGGAAGGGGGACCCCGGTGGGATCCGAGAGGAGAGGAGACCACGGGGGGTCGGGACACCGGGGAAGGACGGTCCCAATGGGATCCGGGGGAGCGGGGCACCGGGCAGGGCAGGACAGGGGGCCACGGTGGGACCGGGGCACCGGCACATCACCCCCGGGGCTGGGGGGCTGGGGAAGCCCCGCACGCCTGTCTGACCCTACACGGGGACCCTGAGGGGGGGCGGGGGCTGCCGGCCAGGAGAGAGCAGGCTGGGCACAGCTCAGGGTAAGGGGTGGGCTGAGGGGGACCCCACTCACGGCTGTGCTGTGGCTGGGGGACTGTGGCTCTGGGAATTGTCCCATCCCGGAGCACACGGGTGGGACTGGGCGCCCTGTGGGGTTTAGGGACCCTGGAACACCCCGTGTCACCTCGTACCCCCAGAGTGCTCCCCCCACCCCGTACCCTTGGGGTGCTCCCCGTACCCCCAGAGTGCTCCCACTCTGCCCTGCATCCCCAGGCCAAAGGGTGGGGAGGGGGTTTCTCCCACGTGTCCATCCCTCCCCGTGGTGAGTCCGTCTGTCTGTCCGTGCACCGCAGGCTCGCCATGGCCCTGCCCCGCACGCTGGGGGAGCTGCAGCTGTACCGGGTGCTGCAACGTGCCAACCTGCTGGGCTACTACGAGACCTTCATCCAGCAAGGGGGGGACGACGTGCAGCAGCTCTGCGAGGCGGGCGAGGAGGAGTTCCTGGAGATCATGGCGCTGGTGGGCATGGCCACCAAGCCCCTCCACGTCCGCCGCCTCCAGAAGGCCCTGCGCGAGTGGGCCTCCAACCCGGGGCTCTTCAGCCAGCCCGTCTCGGCCGTGCCCGTCAGCAGCATCCCGCTCTTCAAGCTCTCCGAGGCCGGCGGGCGCAAGGCCCTCAGCAATGGCCACGCCAGCCCCGGCGAGGCCGCGGGCAAGGGTGGCGGCAGCGCCGGGACGCCCCCGGCCCGCAGCCCCACGGAGCCGGGGGAGAAGCTGTCGCCGTCCGCGGCTCCGCAGTGGCCAGGGAGGAGCACCCCCGAGTCGGAGGGCGGCGGGGATGAGGAGCCGGGGGGTCCCCCCTTCTCCCCGGGCGGGAGCGGCGGGGAGCAGGCGGCGGGCGCGGAGCTGGAGCCGGAGCTGGTGCGGACGGTGGCGGAGAGCGTGGAGCGGCTGCTGCAGAGCTGCCCCCGGGGCGGCGGCGACGCCGAGCTGCGGACGCTGATGAAGGTCAACAAGAAGCTGGCCAAGGCCGTGGGGCACATCTTCCAGCTGGAGGACGGCGACCGGCAAAAGGAGGAGGAGATCCGCCGGCACAGCGCGATCTACGGCCGCGGCGAGGCCCGGCGCCGCGAGGGCAAGCAGCTCACCCTGCACGAGGTGGGCACGTGGCGGGGTCCGTGCTTGAAGGTCCCAGGACGGGCTGGGTTGGGATGAGGCCGGGGCAGCTCTAGGGATGTTGGGTGGGTGGGATCCAGGGTCTGCTCTCGCCCAGGTGGCATCTGCCAGCCCGGAGCAGGTGCCGCCTTCGCCGGGGGTCCCGCGTGGACGCCGTTGTCCCGTGGGCGCTGCCGTCCCCGCTCACGCCTCGTCTCTCTCTGCCCCCAGCTCATCATCAACGAGGCGGCCGCCCAGTTCTGCCTGCGGGACAACTCGCTGCTGCTGAAGCGCGTCGAGCTCTTCTCGCTCTCGCGGCAGGTCGCGCGGGAGAGCACCTACCTGTCCTCGCTCAAGGTCGCCAGGTGAGCCCGGACCTGCTAAACCCCCCCCTCGCAGGCCTGGCTGTCACCCCCCTGCACCCCGGGAGCTGTGCCACAACCCGGCGCTTCTGGACAGGGCCAGGGCCCCGCGGCCCCCAGTTCCCCTTTCCCAGCGTGGGCGGTTTCTGCCTGACCTCGGAGCGTGGGAGGTGGGGAGGATGGGAATGACAGGGATGCCAAGAGTGGGGGGGGGGATGCCAGGCACCAAGGGGTTGCCAGGCGTGGGGGGGATGCTGCTGGGGATGCCCCATCCCTTGTGCCCATCCCCAAAGCCCCCTGCCCGCTGTGCCAGGGCTGCCTTTCCCCTTCCCTCTCCAGCTGCTCCCCACTCTTTCCACCCCCGGTTCCATCTGCGCCAATGCCCCGACCCGCGGCATCGCCCTGCCCGGCAGCCACCCCCACGGTGTGGCAGGAGGGCGGGTGGCCGTGCCCGTGGGGGCCTCGCCACGACCACCCCCCCTCCTGACGCAGCCCCTTCCCCCCCAGGGCACTCCCCGAGGAGAGCGGAGCCGTCACAGCCAAGCGGCTCAAGCAGGAGGTGGGTGTGAGGAGGGGGTTGTGCGGGTGTGCTCACCTGGGATGTGGGTGGGACGGCACAGCGTGCCCAGCACTGGGCAGGGGGCGAGGGGCACCACAGAGGGTTGGTGGCCGCGGGGCTGGGGCCGTGGGTGTCCTGGGGGGGGGTGGCACAGGGGACCCATCACCTGCTCACCCGAGCGCTCCTGGCAGGCGGGAGAGCAGAGCCGGCCCGAGCTGCTGGCGCTGCCGGTGGGGCTGGAGCCCCCCGGGGTCGTGTACCGAGCCAGCCTGGAGGAGGACACGGGCAGCCTCTCCGGGGAGAGCCTCGATGGCCACTTGCAGGGTGAGTTGGGGGGCCCTGCCCTTCCAGGGGGGCCGGTGGTGGCCGGACGGACCCCCGGCCCCTCGTGCTGACTCTCGCCCTTCTCTTGGCAGCGGCGGGGGCCTGTCCCCGGCTGACCCCCCCGCCCGGCACGGCCCCCGACGTGCCCCTCGGCCTGGCCCCCCACGGGCTCTGGAGCCGCCACATCCTGCAGCAGACGCTGATGGACGAGGGGCTGCGCCTGGCCCGGCTGGTCTCGCACGAGCGCGTGGGGCGGCTCAGCCCCTGCCTGCCGGGGAAGCCCCCGGGACCAGGTGAGGGGCTTTGCCGTGGGGGTTCGGGCAGCACCGTCGTCTCCTCCCGTAGAATCGTGCCCTGACGCCATCTCCCCCTTCTCCCCGCAGAGTTCGAGGACGGGCTGGCGGAACGGGGTCCTCCGGCCCCCCCAGAGCCCCCTCGGGGCACCATCAAGGTGGAGCAGGAGACCAGCCGGCAGTGAGGCCCCCGTAGCCCCCCCGCCACCATTAACGAAGCAATAACGTGCTGGGGGACGGGTGCTGGCGGTGCTCCGGGCGCGGGGAGCCTGGGGTAGGGGGGGCTCAGCCGCAGCCCCCCCGGGCCCCCTCCCCTCCCACACCCACGCTCTGGTTACCTCAGCCGCGGCGGGATGCGCCTCCCCGCAGCAGCAATACCCTCATCCCGCCCGGCTCCGGGCCCCCGCCACCCCCCCGGGCCCTCGATGGACTGGAGCCCCCTGTACAGCCCCCCCCTCGTTCTGACCGTCCTCCCACCCCCCCGGCCCCGTCACCGCGCGGGGACAGACGCGTCCCCCCCCGGCACACGCACCGCACCGCGCGCTCCCGCGTCAGCGCTGCCGCCCACGCCGGGCACACGGTCCCCCCGCGCACCCCCCCGCAGCGCCCACGCACCAGCCGCCGGCCCCCTCCCCGCAGCAGGTGCCAGCGCACCGTGCACCCCCCCTGCGACCCCCCCCAGCCCCGCACCGGCTGTAAATACCCGCACGCGCCCCCCGCCCCCCGATACCTGCGTGTGCTCCATGCATGGTCCCTGTGCCGCGGGGTGTCACACGTGCCGTGGGGTGTCACCCCCTCCCAGCACGACGCAGGCGGCGTTTGACGGGCACTGGGGAGGTGCTGCCCACCCCCCACCCACCCCCATCAGCCCCTCGGGGTCCCTCCTGACCCGCCCCTCCCCATTCCCACAAGCCGTGCCCAGCCCCGGGGTCCCTCCCTCCCCTTAGGACTGTGTGGTGTCTTTTTAGAGCATTAGCGACTCTTCCTTTGTACCGTGTACAGTAGATTATTTATTTTGTTATTTTGGAATAAAACTTTATTTTATGGCTTACCTTCCTGCCCGCCCCCCCCGCCAGCTCCAGCCCGGGGGGCTGGTGGACGGTTCAAAACCCCAAAGCAAGCGCTGACTGCGGGGGTGCAAGGGGGGCCGCGTCCCCCTCCGCGGGGGTCCCGCGGTGTCCCCCCCGTCGGGCACCGGGCTGGCACCTCCGCCCCGGCGCCGTTCCCGCTGCCGCCTCCCGCCCCCGCGGTGACTCATCCCGGCGGCGTGGGCCGGGGGCACCGCGTGCGGCTGCCGGTGCCCCCCACGCAGGACGGGGCCCCCCGTGCCTGCACCCCCTCACCCGCGGACCCCCGGCGGGGGTGGGCAGCAACGCACGGGGGGGGGGAGGACGGGGTTACCCGAATCCCCCCTCCCCAAAGGCCCCCCCCTCCCCAGCTGGAGTTTCCACCTCAGCACGAGTCGTATGGAAACCCACGAACCCAGACAAGGCTGGGCGAGGGCGGGGGGTCCCAGCGCGATGCCCCTCCCCACTCAGGCGTGCCCCGGCCGGGCGCCGTCATCCCACCGCGCCTCCCCCAGCCCCCAGCAGGAGGGGTTGGAATCGGGGTACTCGCTGTGCTGGGGAGGGGGCGCGAAGGGGGGGAACAGGGTCACGTTGTGCAGGAGCTGCTCCAAGTCCGAGCTGGACGGCGGATCCATGCCGGGAGACATCCTGGGGACAGAGGGAGCGGGGTGAGCCGGGGGGGAGTGGGGGGACTCCCCCCGCTGATCCCCCCTCCGTGCTTACCACCGCGGGGGGCTCTGCAGCGGCACGTCCACCACGCCCGGGAACGGGGGCAGCTCCGGGGGCAGCTCCGGCATCTCCTCGTCCTGCAGCTCCGAAGAGGGACCCCCGGGCAGCAGCTGCGAGGCCTCCCCAGGCAGGTACTGGTTGGTCATGAAAGGTCTGGGGGGACAAAGAATGGGGGGGCTGGTGTAGACCGTGGGGTACCTCGGGGTACTCACCAGCCCCACGGCAGGGGGGGGCAGTGCTTGGTCGGGGGGGGCTGGTGGGTCTCCTCCAGGAAGCACCAGCAGGGCAGAGCACTGGGAGCACTGGTCAGCTGGGGACGGTCCCTCCAGGTCTGTGTGCCCAGGTAGGGTGGAGAAGGGGGTGCAGGGCAAGGTGCCCCCTCCAGCCACGTGCCAGGTCTTACCCAGGGTTCCCGAAGGCGGGGTCCTGGCAGAGGGGCAGTGAAGGGTCCATACTCAGGGGGGGTGGGAGAATCGGAGGTGTCCTGTGGAGAGGAGGGACACTCAGAGTGGGGAAAACACCCCCTGACCCTGCCTGGGGGTCGTGGGGGCTCGCCATGGTCCCCCCACCCTAACCCAGCCCCGCTCCTACCTGGGGAAGGGGGTGAGGCTGTCAGGGACCATCACGTTGATGTTGCTCTCAGGGTAGCCCGGGGGGACGGGCTGGGGGCAGAAGGTAGTGGGGGGGCTGCTGTGCAGACACCGAGGGGTTCAGATTGAGGGGGGGGCTCTGCCACAGCCCCCACCCCCCCCAGCAGGCCTGGCCCTGCCCAGCGCTGGCACTCACCAGAGGGAGCCTGGCAGTGGCTGCAGGCTCTCGGGTTGTGGCACAGGCACGGGGAACATCGGCGCTGGGGGGGGGGCCCCCATGGAGCCCGGGGGCTGCTGGTCCCTGCAAGAGCACATTGTCCCCGTCAGCACTGCCAGGTCCAGGCTCCAAAGGGGTGCCTGTGCCAGGGGGTGAGCTCAGGGGGTGGTGGGCACACAGACGTGCCCCAGCACAGCTCGGGGTGCCCACAGGGGCTCCTCGCTCACCAGCACAGCCCCGGTTTGCCCTTTCAGGGATGGCCCTGCCCAGAGGGAGGCTCGGGCTGGCCGGGGGTCTGTGCAAACCCCGGCCCACGTGCACACACCCCTGGCACAGCCACGGCCTCCCACCCACCTTTCGCTTTCCACCGTCATCTTGATGGCAGTGGAGACGTAGCCCCGGCCGTCCTTGCCCGTCTGCTCTTCTGCTCGGGCAGGAGAAGTACCCGTGAGCCGCCGCCCTGGCCATGCCCTGCCAACCCTCTCTGCCAGCACCGGCCGCCCCCACGAGCCCCGGGATCGCCCGGGTGAGACCCCAGACCCCCCCAGCAGCATCGCTGAGGTGCAAAGGGGCAGCCCAGGGCCCATCCCAGCTCCCCCCTCTCACTGTTGTAGTGGCTCCCGAACGCCTGGTCCTTGGGGGTGTTGGGGTACAGGTTGCGGAGCTGCCCCAGGTCCCGGATGCGGTCGCCGAGGGAGCGGATGGAGAGGTCCTTGGCAGAGAAGGGCTGGATGTTCTCCACTTGGCTGGAGCCTGAGCGAGGGGAGACACAGCACAGGGCTCCAGCATCACACCTCCAGGCCACAGGACACCCCCCTTCCCAGCACCTGACCCCCGTCTCACCGTCCTTGCCCCGGATGACGTAGGCGATGGTGACGCCCCCGATCTCGGAGTCGCTGAAGCGGAGCAGGAAGGTCCCATCCGGCTCCGTGCTCAGCAGTTTGCAGACGTACTGCTTGCTGATGAAGCCAATGATGAGCCTAGAGGGGGTGCACAGATGGGAAAGTGGCACCAGGACCCCCCCCAGGGTGGCAGGCTGGGACCAGGACCCCCCAGGCCCAGTCCTGAGGCACCCACCTGTCTGACCAGTAACTTTTGAGGCATCTCTTGGTGAGGTCGAGGACTCCATCAAACCACTGCCAGAAGGTGAATCCCCGACCAGGGAGGATCTCCTGGGGCAGAGAGAGGCCATGAGGCTCCCCAGGGCTACGCTGGCCCCTGCCCACCCTGGCCAGCCCTCCCAGTCACCTTGTTGAACTGGGCCCAGGAGACATTGCGGCTCTGGAAGTCCTCGAGGCTGGCGCTGTGGTCATTGAAGATCTTCTGGGCCAGGAAGAAGTAGTGCTCCTTGAGGAGCCCTTTGGTGGTCTGCACCTCTGCCATGAACTTCAGGTTCAGGGTGTCACACATCTTCTCCCAGGGCACCCGCTCGGCCACCACGAAGGGCACCCGCTCCTGTGGCCGGGCAGGGGGGCATCAGGACAGGACCCCCTGCCCGTCCCACACAGTGCCAGGGCTCCCATTCCAGTTTGAGGCCGTTCCTCCCCCTTCCAGAGCCCACCCAGCCCTGGGTCCCAGCTTCCTCCCTCTGGCTCGTGGCACTCACGATCTCGGAGAAGGCGTTGTCCCACAGCACGGTGGCTTTGGCGTTGTTGTCCTGGTTCCCATGGACAATGACCACGATGGGCAGAGACAGGACCTGGGGACAGAGAATGGCCCCCCTCAGCCCCCCGAGCCAAGCAGGGTGGCTGCCCTGGGACCAGCCCAGCCCAGCACGGGTGTCCCACAGGGGCAGAATCAGCACGTGCAGCCCCATCCCCTGGGAGAGGGGCTGGTACCTGGAGGTGGACGGAGGCGTTGCTGGGTGTCAGGGCCACAGAGGTGCTGAACAGGACGGCACATTTCTCCTCCGTCACCGACTCGGAGCCCTTCCGCTCGCAGCGCTTGATCTTCTTCAGCAGCTGGGGAGTGAGAGCTGAGCATCGCCAGCCTCGGCCCCCCCAAAAACCCAGCGGAGCCCCCAGCCTGGCCCCTTGCCGGTGGCACTCACCACGTTCTTGAAGTTGGCGCAGCAGGTCCCACTGGTGGGGTTGGTCTCCAGGGCCACCACGTTGTGCATGATCTCCCCCGTGCTCTCGCTGGGCAGAGGGGGGGTCAGGGGGGCCGTGGTGGTGGGGAAGCCCCCTCGGCCCCACACCAGCCGCTCACCTGGGGGTGTTGCTGTAGGTGCTGAGTGACAGCTCCCGCGCCTGCTTCTCTGTCACCATGTCAGCCCTCACCATGGGGGGCTTGGGCGCTGCCTTCATCAGCCGGGGGCCCAGCAGGAACCGGACGCTCGCCTGGAACTTGGTCTGGGTCTTCAGCACCTGCGGGGGCTGCTTCTCCACCAGGAAGGAGCTGGGGGACGAGGGGACGCCGTGGCACCCGGTGTGATGCCCCGCCAGCTCTGCCACCAGCCCCTGCAGCCCCCCATGGCCCACCACGGCCCCTCAGGCTGTTACCTCTTGACCAGGCTGGACAGCACCTCGCTGAAGCGCTCCAGCAGCCGGGGCAGCAGCTCGGGCCCCAGCTCCGCGCTCGCCGCCATCGCCTGCTGCTGCAGCTGGAAGTAAACCTCGACCAGGTCCTCACACCTGCACGAAGGGGGGCCCTCAGCGCCAGACCACCACTCACCCAGAGCCCCTTGGGCTGGTGGAGGGAGCAGGGGCTTGCTCAGGGTCCCCCACCCCCGCCCTGTGCCCCCGCACCTCTTCTGCAGCGGCGCCAGGTTCTCCTCGAAGACGGCCCCGTTCCCCGCCAGCTGCTGTTGCCTCTTCCAGATCTGGATCCTCTTCAGGACCTGCTGTTTGACCGCCTCCAGCTCCTTCACGGCCTCCAGGATGAGGGTGGGCAGCTCCTGGGGGGCAGCGCCGGCCCCGTCCCGCCCCGTGCCCTCGCCCGCGGGGCCGTCGCGGAGCGCCTGGATCTCCCGGATCTCCCGGACACGGTGCTGCAGCCGCTGCAGCCCCACGCTGAACTTCAGCTCCTCCTGCCGCCGGTGGAAGCTGAGGGGCAGGTGGTGGTCCTGGGGCAGAGCAGGGTGGGGTCAGTGGGCTCCGTGGTCAGCCCTGTGCCTCGGGGCACCGGGAGGGGGGCAGGGACCACCCACCCGCTTGAGCACGGCAGCCTTCTCGCCCTCCAGGACGGCTCTCAGGACGGCCACCAACCGCAGCGGGTCCCGGCGATAGGTGTTCTGGGGGCAGCCAAATGCGGGGTGTCGGGGGGGGCGGGACATGTGCCCCCCCTTCCTGCCCCCTCCCGCCCCAGCCCCTTCCCACAACACCAGGCCAAGGCGACTCGGGGGTTCCACGACCACCACGGAGCTGATTTCCAGCTTTAAAACCCCTTCAAACTGTGCACAGGATCACAGAACGTCCGGAGCCGGAGGGACCACAAGGGTCATCGCCCCAACTCCATTTTTTTTTTTTGTATAAAAGGCAAAAGAACCAACTTCAAATTAAAAAAAAAAAACCAAACCAAACCAACAAACCAAGGGGAATTCTCCATTTCTGTGAGCACAGCCTCGAGCCTCGCCAGCCCGACACCTGGGAGAGACTGAGCTGCCCTGGGTGGATCGATGCTTTCCACTGAAAACAGCAGAAAGGGAGGAATTCCCCCGCTGGTTCCAGCTCCTGTGCCCTATGCCAGCTCCTCCGGCCTTCACGCATTTCCCAAATTAGCTACTTCCCAAAACAGCAGCAGAACCCAGCGGGGAACAGCCGTGGTGTGCTCGGTGCGTTCCTGTCCTAGTGGGAGGCAGCTCTGCTGCAGATCCACGGGGGTCTGAGTGCAGCACTGGCAGCCCCCAGGGCTCTTCCAGGGAAAACGTGGGATTCAAGGTGCAAAAGGCCCAGGTTTGGCTCCTCCCTGCACCCCTGGCCCTGTGGTTACCCATCCTGGGGAGCACCCGGCTCCCACCGCCCACGGCAGCACCAACAGAGGGGAACAGCCCGACCGGGCACAGAGAAACCAGGGTTTGGTGTTCTGGGATGAGGGATGGCCAGAGGAGGGAACACGAACATGGGAGGGCAGCTCTGCTTCAGCAGGAGCTGAAACATGTTTGCTGCGACCATTGCAAAAAGCAAGAGCCTTGTTTTGGAAAGTCACCCTCTTCCCCGGAGGTTGTGACTAAAGCTGACCCCTTCCCAAATGTTGGATATTAAAAATGTCTGTTACCCAAAGAGCAGAGTTTTCAACCTGAACAGGGCTCTGGGAGTGAGTCCTGCTCAGCCCTGGCGTTCCAAGCTCCGCTGGCCAGAGAGGGGGGATAAATCAGAGGGTGGGAGAGGAACAGAGCAATTTCAACAGCCTCAACAAGAGAAACAGCCCCAATAAGAGAAACAGCCCCAAAAGTGAAACCCAGTGCCCATGACGGGAGGAAATGCAGCCCCACACAGCACAGAGGAAGGAGAAATCAGATGCTTGAGCAGAAAATGGGGAAGAATCTGGTGAGGTGGCCCCCGGTGTTGACAGTTGGGGCCATGGGGGGCCATGGGGCTCAGGAGGTTCCCCACAGGGTCAGGGTCTGTTTTGGGGGGGATGTGGCAGCTCCCTGGGGGCCACCGGTCTGCAGAGCTGAGGTCACAGCCCTGGGACACAAATAACCCCCCTCTGTCATCTGGAACACCCCAAAAAGCCACTCGCTGAGTCCACACGAGCTCGTCGCCCATGAGCCTGGAAATGGGTGTCACAGGGGGACCATCCCGAGGGTCCCCACACACCTCGAGGCCGTTGACTTGCTGGAGGACCTGGCACTGCTGCCCCTCAGGCCCGGCAGCGCCGCGGAGCTTCTCCAGCATGGCCGAGAACAACCTGCTGGCCACGCTGGTGCAGAAGGCGTCCGAGCCATTGATGAACTCCCTGGAGGGGGGAAAAGGTTGGGAGAACGGGCACGGATCCCCCACCCTCCCCTGTGTGACCCCCAGCCCCACGCTGCTCCGGGCAGGAAGGGGCACCGGGGACTCACCAGGGCTGGTTCTCCAGCCAGTCGGCCAGGAGGCAGCGCAGGCTCCGGGGGAACTCTGGGGAGAGGCTGCTGAGCTCCTCCTGTGGCATGTGGGACACGATGTTCCAGAGGGACATCTTGGGAACAGTCACCTGTGGGCAAAGAGGAGAGGGGATGGGAGCGGGGCCGCTCAGGCAGCCCCCAGCCCAGCTCTGGGGGGGTCGAGGGCCGACAGCCCCTCAGGGAGGGGGGCGAGAGCTGCTGCCTGTCCCTCTGCATCTGAACCTGCTGCTCCAGCAGGTCAGGCTGCCAGGGGGGAGGAGGAGGAGGAGGAGGAGTGGGAAGACTAATCCAGGATCAGCCTCTTGGGCAATCCTGAGCAGGCAGGAAGGCCACTTGTGCCTCAGTTTCCCACATCTCTGTGGAATCCCACAAGGTGGGTGTCACACAAGGACACGAGGATGGACGGGAGAAGTGCTGCTGGACTTGGCACAGGAGAGTTGGGAGAGCCGGAAGAATGTGAAACCCTCTGGGAGCGGGAGGAGTGTGAACTCCCCCTGAGCGTGGTGAGGCTGCTCTGCCAGGGTGGTCTCACCCAGGGTAAGACACCCCCCAAAACCTCCTCAGCTCTCCCCCCTGAGGAAGGCCCCTTCCCCAGCTGCCTCAGTGGTCTCCACAGCTCATGGAAAACAAGAGAAGGGCTGGAATGAGGCACTAGATAGGAAACTCCACATGGAAGGTCTGGACTGGGGGGGGTGTCACAGTCCCACCATGCCCCGAGCTGGAACCCCAACAGTCCCACCCCGGCCCCTCAGCGGTGCCGACGTCCTGCCCACCCCATCCCTCTTCCTGGCAGCTCCCACCCTTCCTCCCACCACGCTCACACCCTCCAGCCCCCACTGCAGCCCCGGCTGGCCAGGGGGGTCCCCACGCAGACGCACCTCGCTGCCGGTTCCGCAGGCAGCGGCCGGGGCCGAGGCCCAATCCGGCGGATCCCGCAGCGCTGGCGTCTCACGGCCCTGCCGAGGGGCCGGGGCGCTGGTGGGACCCCGGCCAGCCCGTCCGCCCAGGCCTGGCTCCTCGTCCCCGAACAGGGAATCACGTCACGTCAGGTGCCCCCGCGGGCAGCGCGCTCCCCACGGGCCTGGGCCGCGCGGCGAGAGCCGAGGCGGAGGTGGAGCTGAGAGACTCCGAGAAACCCTGCGAGGGGAAGGAAGCCAAGCCAAGGCGTCACTGGGCAACGTCGCAGCCGGCGCAAACAACCGCCCGCGGCCTTGGCACCGAGCGGGGCCGTGGGGCGGCGGGAGCTCCCTGGGATGGTGGCGGTGTGGTGGCCCCAGGGGTGCTGCACTTCCCGTGGGATCGGCCCTCCCGGACCCCCCCACGCCGCTCCAGGGAGCGACCAAGGCAGCCGGAGCCTGGCGCCTTCCAGAAATGCTTTTGCTTTCGGCTCCACGCCCGCCCCGAGCAAACAGATCCCGGTGATTCACCGCAGGCACGCACGGCCCAAGGGACGAGGTTACTCCGGAGCGGTCAGTGCCCCGTGGGAAACGCAGCCACCGGTGCCGGGAATGCTGCTGGGCTCTCCCCGCTGCCCCAGTGGGATCTTGGCAGGAGGGAGAACCAGCCTCTCCTTTTGCCACTCTCGAGGTGTAATCGCCATCCTCCTCCTCCCCCATTAAACCTGTATTTCTGCTCGGCCCTGGGAGGCAGCTGCTGGCTGGAAGCGCCAACCTGGAGTGTAATCCAGGCATGCCTGGATCTGCTCAGAGTCTGCAGGAGAAGCCACGTTGCTCCCTCCTCCCCCAGCCCAGGAGGAGCTGGGGAGGGGGGGACATGCCTGTCCCCTCCCAGCATCAGTCACAGCAGCTCCTTCAGCTCAGCCTTCCTAACCTAATTTCCATATTTTCCTCTTCTTCTACAGAACAGCCTTTCCTGGTTCCCTCCTGGGGGGACCCTCCTCCAGGTCACCCCAGCAAAGCAGCCTCCGTGGCAGCTTCCAGCCCCACACCTGCACCAACCGCAGGTGCATCCACTTTGGATGCACCCTGAGCCTCCCGGTCTCCACCGGGCTCGTACCCCCCAGGAGGCACCCCCAGAGAGGAGGCTCCACCGCCCGCTCCCCCTCCCCAAGCCCCTCGGCGCAGCCACTTTCACTTCCTCCTCCACACCAGGGGCTTCACTTCCCTGGGGGGGCCCGGGGGTCTCCCAGATGGGAAGGTCGGGTAGGAGGAGCCCGGACATGTGGGTTTTCCAGATGCTCGGGACACCCGGGCTCTGCTCTGGCTCTGCCCTCGCTGCCAGCACTCCCTGGCCGAGGCCAGGACACGGGACCTTGTGGGACATCGGTGACAGTGCCACGGGGAAGACACCGCAGAGCCCACGTGGTGCCAGGGGCTTCCCACAGCTGACCGCGCTCAGGCAGTGAAAGCTCTCGCGGTGCAGAGGAAGAGGAGCGGGGGCCTTCTCCCTCTGGCCCAGCCCAGGGTGACTCACGGCGCGGGGAATCCGGGCCGGACCCACTCTCGGCCCAGGAACTCGCTCTCGGGGTCCCACCGGCGGGACGGGGGGGGTCTGGCGCTCCCCACCGCAGCCCCCGGCGGTGCCAGGACAGGGGTGCGGGGCTCTGCACCCCCCGGCAGCGAGTGCTCGGGACTTTTGACCGGGGTGAGCTGCGTTTCCACCCGCGCGGCCGATCCAACCTCGACGGTGCCGGTTCCAGAGCCCCTTCCCCGTCCCACCCAAAACACCCCCGTGCGAGGCTGACGGTTCGCTCCGCTCCCCACCCCAGAGACCCTCGCTCAGCCCGACACGCTGCCCGGACCCCCGCCCGCCCCCGAGCAGCCCCCCCACCCCGGAGACCCCCGTTTCCCCCGCCCGCCAACCCGGCGCCCCTGCCCGAGTCCCGGGGCGGGGCGGGAGGTGCCAGACGGCGGCAGAGCCCCCGGTCCCGGCCTCCGTTACCTGGCGGGAGCCGCCGCGGGCGGGGGGCGGCCGGTCCGGCCGGTCCCCGCGGCCTCTCGCTCACTCCATGGCGGCGGCGGGCGCGGCCGGTCCCCGCTCCGCCGGGAAGCGCCGAGCACAGGAAGGGGGAGGAGACCTGCGGGAGGGGCGGGAGGGCACCGGGGCCGGGACCCGGACTACCCTCGGCAGGACCTGAGACCCCCGGACCTCCCCGCCGAGGGGCTGTGGCCTCACACCCGCCCCGTATCCGCCCCACCCACTCGTGACTACACTCTTGCCCCATATCCGCCCACTCGTGTCTCCACTCACGGCCCCGCTCTTACCCCACGTCCCTCCACCGGTGACCCCACACCCGCCCCATGCGCTGTCCCGTTCGGTCCCCGCTCACTCGTGCGCCCCCCGCCCCGTCTCTGACAGCCGCCCCCGCCCCTGCCCTAACCCGGTTCCCCCACGTTGTCCCCCCAAGCTCCCCGCCCATCCCCGCGGGTGCTCCCGCACCGGGCCAGCCCCGGTCCCGTGTCCGCGCCGTGGCGGGTGCCCCGGGGCCGGGCCGGTGGTCCCGGGCTGCACCTGTACCCCCCGGTTCGAGCCCCGGTCCCCGTTCTGGGGTCCGAGCCCGCGGCCAGTCCCGGGCTGTGCCCGCTCCCGCTCGCCGGTACCGGACCGAGGACGGGAACCGTGGCTGGGAAAGGGGGGGTGCTCGTCGCTTGGGCGGGGGGTTCGCTGCTCTGGGGGTTCCCACGCGGGGGCCGGACGGGCCAATTGCTCGGAGGGACCGCACCGGGCAGGACCACACCGGAGCCGCCAGGGGGCGCTGCCGCACCGCCGGTGCCACCGGGGCGCCACCGGGGGATGCGGGTCGGGGCTGCCGGTGCGGGGAATGCGGGGCCGGGGCAGAGGCAGGGCCGCCACCGGAGCTCCGGGGTCCGCAGCCCCGCGGGAGGGGTCTCCGCGTTCCCCCCCGCTCCTCCCCCCCGGTCGCGGCGCCGGTGAACTCTCCGCGCTGCCGTTACGAGCATCAAACGCGCCCGGGAGGCCCGGGAGCGCGGCTCCCCCACTTCGCACCGGGACACCCCGGGAGGCCGGATCCCCGCCGGAGCGGTTAAGGACTGGGAAGGGGCTTTCCGGCCCCCCTCAGGCCCGCCAGCCTCCGGTCCAGGGCGGTACCGGAGGGGGAGAGGGCTGCGGGACACTGGCCGGAGTCCACGCGTGGGAGGAACGAGAATCGCCCCGCTCCGCCGGTCGTGTGCGACGTTTGGGGGCTCTGGGGGAGCGAGAGATGCAGAACCGCCCCCCGGGACGCCCTCCAGCTCCCCGGGACATGCCGTGCCTGTGCTCCCCCGGCCCTGCTGCAGGGGCGGCTTCCCGGGAACATCTGGACCTTCTCCCGAACATCTGGTGCCGCGGCAGCCCGAAACATCTCCCACGCTGCTGCCTCCCCGGGGTGGGGCGGGTCAGACGCGTGACGTCATTTTTAAACATATGACATCACGCGGAGGGGGCTCACGGTGCCTGACGACGGTGCCGGCACCGCTCCCCATCTCCCCCCCTCCGCCCCCGGCCCTCGCAGGCAGCGGCGTGGCCGATGGGTGACGTCACGGCTCTCGCTCTGACGTCACGGCTTTCAGTCAAAGCTGGCGTTGGGGGAGCGATGCCCGGCCCTGCCGATGAACGGGACCCCCCATGGTGGGGGTCGCTGCTCCGGCCCCCCGGCCGTGAGCTCTGCGGGGACGGGCGGGGGCACAGCGAGGGTCCCACGATCCTTGGAGACAGCGAGCGAGCGGCAAGGGGCCGATGTCCTGGGGGGACAGCGAGGGTCCCATTACCCTTGGGGACAGCGAGGGTCCCGCTGCCCTTGGCGATGACCAGGGTGACGCTGCCCCGTCCGTGCCCGGCCCCCAGCGCGGGCGCGGGACCCGCAGCGCTGTACCCGCACCACAGCGGAGCCCTGCCCGCACCGGCACCAGGACCGGCACCGGCACCGGCACCGGACCCCGGCCGGGACCCCCGGCCCCGCCCACACCCACCGGGGGGCGCAGCCCCGGCACCGCCCGCGCATGCGCGCGCGCGTCCTTCTCTCCCCCCCCCCTTAAACGCCACGCGCGCCCCCCCCTCCCCTTCCCGTCCGCGCGCGGCGGCGGCGGCGGCGGCAGCTCGCGCCCGGTGACGTCAGGCGGGCGGCCGGCCGGGACCCCCGGCCCCGCCCACACCCACCGGGGGGCGCAGCCCCGGCACCGCCCGCGCATGCGCGCGCGCGTCCTTCTCTCCCCCCCCCCTTAAACGCCACGCGCGCCCCCCCCCTCCCCTTCCCGTCCGCGCGCGGCGGCGGCGGCGGCGGCAGCTCGCGCCCGGTGACGTCAGGCGGGCGGCGGCGCGCGCTCCATCGCCCC